GTTTGAGTCTAGCACAACGAGGGTATTACAATTGAGTAATTTTTCTACATGTATTTATCATGTATTCTTAATACCATTACAAAATATGTAATGTTATGTTTTAGAGGAGGACCTCAAGCTAGCAAACTCAATTTCAAACAGTATGCAGAGTTGTCCTGCTAAAGAGTTAAAATGTATTATTTAACCAAGTATTTATTCTCTTATTTGCTTTAATTGCAACAGATGATAAAGGTTTCACTGTGATAAGTATTCTCTTAAATCCATAAACCCCTGTACAGTGCTTTGTGGACGATGGTGTTTATGATATTTCTGACTGCAGAGGGACGCCTAGATGATGCCATCTTTCTGTGCGATCGCTGGTGGGTGCAATTATTTATCAACAAGCAATAAGATAAGACATGGCATTGATTCTGCTGGGCCAGTTGCCGTTCCTGCAGGGCCAGATCCTCTCCTCCTCGGTTTGTGCTGTTGATGCAGAGGACGTTGTTCGGAACTGTTCCTCCTCGCTAGTCCCAATGTAATCATCTAGAACAGAAACATGACTTGTAAATTCCACAAACTACTGCAGCACAATACTATAAATAGCAACAACAACTATAGAAAAGACAAACTGAACGTAAACAATGGCACATATGGTGTTAGCAAACAATAGCTCTCGCTAATGCTATCTGCCTAGCTAGCCTTCGGGGCTCCATCGGGGTTGTCGAACATAAATGTAAGGATAAAATAGACTTATTTGTTAGAAGTGAGCTTTAAAACAGATAGGGACACAAAGCAGGGACACAAAGCTTTCAAGCAAATAACAGCGTTAGCAAAAACGTACCATGCAGACTCCAGTAACGCCGTTGGAGAGTCCAGTGTCTGTGTAGAGACCTCCTGAAAGACTTTGATATTGCGAGTTGTCCCGTCGAGCACCCGCTGGACCTTATCATCTGCAATATAATGGACGTCGTCACTTCCTCGACCGACCATGGTGTGCTTTTCTTTGCCATTGTTGTAGCTCCTCTGTTAACAAAAATGCTGTTTGTAAAAATGGATTATCTCGCGCGCAGATTGTGACGATTCTCTCCGACCAATCAGCAGCCGAGAGCGTTGACGTCACAAACTCAGCCTGGTTGTCTCGGCCCTGGCCCCACGATTTTATGAGGCCAGAAAAACTGAGAATTAGGACCAGCCGGCCGGTACTAGGCCAAGTGGAAACGCAACCACAAACGGGCCGCTGACGTCACAGCCCTCTTAAACCGGGCTGCGCGCTGTAGTGGAAACGCGCCATTAGTCCCGCCCACAGGAGATGCGAGCGGAGGACTGAGGAGGGGAACCGAGGAGAGAGGAGGTGAAGCAGCAGGCGGTTAGAGAAATGAGAACTCCTCTCCTCTGAGCGGTCATTTTAAAGAGACGTCCATTAATGATGACAGGAGGCACAGCGGCCCTGTCTGATGGACAGATGTGTTCATGATGACTTATATATTTACTTTTAATTCATTCACAGTGTGGTATAATGAGACAATAACAGGCTACAGATGCGGACACACACACACACACACACACACACACACACACACACGTATATGTATATATTTATATAAATATATACAATTTCAGAATCAAACAGAGCACTCTCATAATAACGTAACACTATCAGAGACTGGATATATCCCCCCCCTCCCTCTCCCCTCTCTGGTCGCTACAATGAGGAAAATAAATTACGGGCCAAAAGTTTTATTTACAAGTAAGCAGAGGACACCAAACCAACTGAGACCTGTCTGTCCGCTGCATACGCACACACTGTACCACACACACACCTACACCACACACACGCACCTACAGCTCCTAAAGCATATTATCAGGCTACAGCCGTTGTGTATTTTATTATGTGAAGCACTAAATGGTTTTAGAAAAATATCGACTCTCTGTAGATATCTACTAAACTAAAGCAAATAAATAGAGTAGGCCTGTTATACTGAGTGATATAAACACACTGCTCTGCTTTCTGCACGGACCTCACAGCTGTTCTCACTGGAAACATCGCGTCGCGATGAAAGCAGTAATTATATAATTAATTGTATAATTAATAAAATAATATCCAGGGGATGCATGCAGAGCTGTTATTGGCTGAGATAAGTCCGGCCGTGCGTCACGACTCTTTGAAACATCTCTGTTCCCGGAAATGCATCCACGAAGGAGCCGTGGAGGACCGTGGAGGACCCATCATGTCGATGTGAAAGATAAGTAGTGTCCCTGTCGATTAAACACCTGTTGTTCCCATAACCAGAACATTAGTGATGGTACTTTTCCCAATAAATCATGTCCCTAAGAGGCCAAGACTATAGGCTCATCACTTTGAAGCATTCCTAAATAAAAATCTGTGCAAAATGTAATGTTTATTGAACAAAATAACAATAACCAAAGCAGGACTATACGGTCAACAGAAAAGAGCAAGTTCAGCCCGTTGGTCATCCACACACCAGGTGCCGTAAATACCTGACCACATCCATGTGATCATTGAATGATATAAAACTGTGTGTGGTTAAAACAAAGTATAATACCAGGAATAATAAGCAACGGCTAACATCTGTGGATCAAAATGTAATAATAATGCATCAATATTATTTACTAAATGTATTGATATTTTAAAAAAGGTGTAGAAATAATTCCTTTGACTGTTAAGCCCCAAAGCCCCCCTCGGCGGGTCTTTTTTTTTTCTCACAAATTAAAAAAAAAAAAAAAAGTTTTTTTTAATTTTTTAATTTTTTATTAATTTTTTTAATTTAATTTTTTTTTCTTTGAATGGAATGAATACCTATGGTGATAATTCAATGTAATACATCATTTTTATAGTCTGGTACCTGAAAAAGGTCAAATGGCACTGATGGAACCAGATATACCCAAATGTGCCGAAAGCCTATTCCGCCTGGAACTTGGAACTGCTAAATCTCTCTAAAAAGGTCAAATTTAACTTGTTTTGCCTCAATCTTGATACAGGGTACTTATTATATGTTATAGTTTGGATTCCTAAAGCTTTTAGTCTACTAACCCATCATCCAAGGGTGGTTTTCACTATAAGTAATGGGTTTTTTGTAGGCGGAGGTAAGAATTTACCTTTTTTTACTATGTTCCATCTGAATTTACTCTGACTGAGAAAAATCCATATTGATTCTGACACTTCTACATCCAACTCACAGATGTAACCTTGCTTTGATAAAATAAATTATTCATATAACCCTTTTAGAAGTGAAGTTGTAGTCATTTGTTTTGGGCATGTCATTTTCGAGCCTGAAACCTGAAAAACAGGCTCGGGGCTTAACAGGTTCCCTGGAGCGACCAGTGTGAATATGTAACATTCATGAACATAAAGGTTAGACAAAAGGACTTCTGTTCACACACATATATAAGTTTACATATGTGTCTTTATTGTTATCATGTTAACAAAACAGGTGAACACGGAACATCTCAGCTGCTAAGGACAAGTTGTGCAAGATGCACAAACTGAGGGAAAAGTATCTGAACAAGGCCCATCATTCCACTTCCCCCACCAGTTGTTGAGTACACAGTCTTTACCCCGTCCGCTGTTGTTTGGTTGTCTTCTATACCAAAAGAAATACTTGGCTGCACACCCATCAGACCACATCCATCTTCCTTCTTTGGCGATGTCATGGAGTCCGATCCATGTATATCCCTCAGCAGGGTCAGAGCTTTTGATCAGGAATTTGACAAAATCCTCTTCCTCTCTACTGTGGATAGACACCAGGTTGCCTCCCTGGGACACACAGTAGAGCTCTGCATCAGCCCAGGTCGTCTCTGTGTTGAAGTACTTGTAGCAGCGGCACATTAACCTAAAGAAATGTTCAAAAGTGGGTCCGCACTTTGAAATCCTCCTTTCTGAATTTTCTGTTATAGATTTTTCTGAAAATACATTACTTTGCTGACGTGGACAAAAAACACTTTAAAATAACAGGAACAAGCTTATAAATGTGTATGATGAAAAGTCTCCATGTTGTTACTGTACTTTACTTCTTTAATAAATAAAAATTGCTCTAAAAAGGATTTTCTCCCCTGTTCATGTGATCTCTCAGTAAAAAAATTAAGCCTTTTCATTTCTGCTTCATTTCAACTTATCTTCCACAGAGCCTCAGTGAGACGGTATTTAAACGTTTTTGTTTATGTTTGTCTATCAACCCTGTGATTTCATTTTTAATACTGAGTTATTTGATAAAAGTTGAGGTTAGTTTCATTACGGTTCACATGCTAGATATGTAGTCTAGGAGTAGTGAAAGATTATACTTAACATGTATATTATTGTTGTGGTGATAGGTGAGTGGTGACAGCATGTTACGTTCCCTCCTGGACTAGGGAGGGAACGTAACAAAATATAAAAATAACCGGGAGAGACAAAAAAGGAGAGGAAACTGATTGCTGAAGCCACAAGGCGATGTTTAATAATCAAAAAGTAAAGACGGCTCACCAGCCAATTAGCAAAGCAAACATAAGGTAAACTAAGAACAACTTTCTCCTAAAAGAAAGTGACTAAAGTAAAACAATACACAAAGATACACTGGAGCACATCTAACAAACAAAATACAGATTAAACTAGTAGGCCTCACAAAGAGACACTAACACGCTGTACACACGCTGCACACATGCAGCCCAGAGGAGAAGGAGAGAGAGACTGCAGTCTTCCTCAGGTCCTTCATGGAGGCCCTGATTGGGGATTGGGAGCACCTGAGGGAGAGGCTGCACCTGGAGGGAGACAATCAGGGGGAGAGGGAGAGATACACACACACAATGCTTTTTATTAAAAAAAATACATATATGGATTGCTTTATTCTTTTTCATTTATATAGTTTTTGTTCTTCCCATTATTTTGAATGTAATCTTTTTTTTTTATTTACTATAATTTCCATTGCTTTTTAATGATGTATTTGTTCTGTGGGTTGATTCTCTTGAAAACCAATACAAAATTGAGATACAAAGATAAATGCATATGTACACAGAAACACACTTTTATGTTTTCAGTTAATTAAGTTTGAGATCATTTTGAATCACCTGTGTAAATATATAACATTCATGGAAATTAAGTTTAATAAAATGACTTCTTTACACACATAAGTGTACATTCATGTCTTTATTGTGGTCCAAAGCATGTTAACAGAGTAACAGTTTTACAGTGAACTGGTTCAATCAGACATATGTAACATCTCAGTTGCTAAGGACAAGTTATGCGAGACGCACAAACTGAGGGAAGAGTAGAATAACATGTTCTATCGTTCCATTTATGATCAAAACCAAAGTTGGTGTCGACACAGTGTTCCAATCCTCGAAAGTTGTCTGGTTGTCCTGAACTCCAATAGACAAACTTGACTGCACACCCATCAGACCACATCCATCTTCCTTCTTTGGCGATGTCATGGAGTCCGATCCATGTATATCCCTCAGCAGGGTCAGAGCTTTTGATCAGGAATTTGACAAAATCCTCTTCCTCTCTACTGTGGATAGACACCAGGTTGCCTCCCTGGGACACACAGTAGAGCTCTGCATCAGCCCAGGTCGTCTCTGTGTTGAAGTACTTGTAGCAGCGGCCGTTGAAGGAGAACCAGAAGGAGGGACAGGTGTCTTGCTGTAGCTCCGTTGGAGGGTCATCTGAAGAAGAAACAGCACCCAGAGCCAGGCCCAACAGGAAGAGGAAAACCAGCATGATGATGATGATGATGATGTCACCGTCTCTGTCGGTTAAAGTTGCACTGAACCGTTGGAGAAGATGGAGATTGTGAGGCTTCAAGTGGCAGGCTGCTTCTTTATATATGTGTGGTAATGTGACGTCATTCTCACGTGACGTGATCACATGACCGGTGAACGGTAACATTGAAGTTATAAAAATGTTGCCGCCGGCAGTTTCAGAAAACCTTTGTCTTGGCTGCTGGACGCGCACCGATATCTCTGACAGTTCAGTGCAACTTTAAACAGGAAGATTGAGTGCGAGTGAAATTACGATTGTGAGTCTTTTCAGTACATCTTCGATTTTTTTAGGTGCATTTGGTTTGTTTGAGCGTAGTACGGCCGGGGCACGGCCCGTAGCACGGCCTCCCCAAACGGCTTTGCTGTTTGGGCCCCCCCCCCCGGTGCTGTGATCTGGTGCGGCGCAAGTGTTGATGGCAACTGCGAGTGGACAGTGCAGAGGTGCCGAACATGGAAGGCGGAAGAGCAGGTGAAAAGACGGACGAAAGGAAGGACAACGAAGAAGAGCAAGAAAGCGGGAGAGGAAGGAAAAGAGGGGCAGAAGGAGAGAGTGAGGTACAGTGTGGATTTAACTGTGGAAGTGGTTGTGGAAGGTGTATTGACTATGATGGACCTGCTGAAAGGAATTCAGAAACAGTGTGGGACAGTGGATGGGTGCAGGGTGACAGGAGAACAATACGAAGTAACTATGAGGACCATCCTGGGAAAAACGAAACTAATGGAGGGGCTGAGAGTGAATGGGGCTGCGGTACACGCTAAAAACATTATGAGCACTGATGCGACCGTCTCTTTCCTGCATCTGCCTGTTTATTTGCCTGATAGAATTATATTAAATAGGCTTGAGGAGTGGGGAGTTAAGCCCATCTCGGTCATTAAAAAAAGAGTGTGGCCAGACTCGGACATTGCAGACGGCACCAGGTTCCTCAGAGTAAGGTTCAATAATAAGGTCCGCTCCCTACCGTACTCCACAAAGTACATAAAAAAGATTATGCGTGGAAAGTATTTTTAAAAGAAGCAATTAATAAGTGTGGAGGCTGTGGTGACAGCGCCTTATTTATGGCTTTGAGAAAAGAAATGCTTAATGGCGTTTCTGGGTACCACAGGGAGGCTTTATTAGCATGGGGTGAGTTTCTAAAAGGGGTGAAGCATAAGTGTGTGAATGTTGAGCAAGTGTGGAATCAGCCCATCTTTCTAAACCATATGATCATGGTGAAGAAGTGTCCTGTATTCAATCTCCAAATGTGGAGGGCGGGTTTTAGAAACATAAGGGATTTGATTTATGAGTATGTGCCGGGGTTCATGGGGGCACGGGTGATAGTGGATGAGGTGAGGGGTAGCGGGGGAATTATGCAGTTGAGAGCGGCGGAAGAAATCATGGAGAGGGTGAAAAAAGGTATGCCTGTGGGTTGGGTGAGAATGGTTGAATGTGAGGCTACAAGAAGTGGAGAGAGCGTGGCAGAAATGTATGTGGGGGAGGGGGATACTTGTGTTAAAATGGAGAAAGTAAACACTAGGGTGATTTACAAAATGCTGAGGGGTGGAAAAATAAGAAGACCTGTTTCTGAGCGGGTGTGGGAAAATGTTTTTGAAAAGTTTGATGGGCGGAAGGTGTGGGGGAATTTAAGGGTGAAATGGAACAGCATTGAATGTGAGCACTTTGATTTTCTTTTTCGTCACAACAGGGTGTACAACAATCTGATCATAAGCAGGTTTGATGTCACGGTGAAGAAAGAGTGTGATGTGTGTAAGGTAATGGTCGAAACGTGTATGCATGAATTTTTTGAATGTGGAGAGCTGAAAGTGTATTTTGAACGGTTGAAGGGGCTAATTGATAAGTGTTGGGGGGATAGAATATTAAAAACGATGGTATGGAAGGAGTTGTGGCTGTTTGGGATGAGTGGGGGAGTGAAAGGACCCAATGTGAATTTCTGCAACTATGTGCTGAGCCATGCCCGGTATGCTGTAAAACTTAGGAGAGACTTGGCCCATTTTGGGAACAGAAAGGTGGACGTATGGGATCTGTTCAAAAGGATTTTAAGCAAGGACGTTCAGATAGCATACGTGTACCTGGAAAAGGATGCTTTTCTGGAGAACTTTGTGGATGGGTGCACTCTGGTGGAGGTTGGTGACAATGACAAACTGGTGTTTAAATATGATAGTGTTGGCTAACATGTATGGTGTGAAACGTAAAGTATGGTTTGTATATAAATGATTGCCTGTTTGCTGTGTTTTGTTTCTCGTTTTCTGTTTTTGTATTTTCAGTTCCTATGATTGAACAACCCAAGTAAGATCTATTTGTTTTTGGCAATCTTTTTTTGGCTAATTGCATTCAGTTTATTTCTTTTATTTTGTCATGTTTTGCATGATTATTATTTTTGATTGTTTTAAATGCAGGGCCACATTGAAACCACTTGTACATTTTGTAAATATTAAATTGTGAATTTTCGAATAAAAAAGACAAAAAAAACGTTATCTCCATCAAGGTAGGACTCGCGATTTTAAGGTGGTTTTATGGTCTTTTAAATTAACCTATGGAAGTGTCTCAGTTCAGTTTGGATTTTATTAGGGCGAGGGCAAGATACGTTTTCCCATCATGGAGGGAAACGAGAGAAACTCTTCTGACATTCAAAGCACGAGACCTGGTCTGTTGCAAGCAATGTGGTGTTTTACTAAATGTTTTAATCGTTTTCAAGCAACTTGTACACGTGTTTTGCAGAGTGTAGAAGTGCTCATAACCAGCCAACCAACCCGGGAAACTGGCAAAGGTATAATGCTCTTTTCAAAAGCTAAAAAGACACCAGAGCCTGTTTTAGATATTGTAACTACGCAAGGAATAAAACTTGAAGTGGTTGCCTGTTACAAATACCTTGGTATCTGGCTTGATGACTGTCTCACTTTAAACGTCATGTCAATAACCTGCTTAAAAAACTGAGGGTTATGCTAGGTTTCTTCTACAGGAACAAGTCCTGTTTCTCACTCGAGGCCAGAAAAAGGCTAGTCTCTGTGACCTTTTTACCTGTGCTGGACTATGGTGATTTGATTTATATGAATGCACCTGCCAATTGCCTGGTCAAGTTAGATGCTGCGTATCACAGTGCACTGACATTTGTGACAAACTGTAAAGCATTAACCCATCACTGTACCCTGTATGCAAGGGCTGGTTTGCCTTCGCTAACTGTACGGAGGCTCAGTCACTGATACATTTTTATATACAAAGCCATGTTAGGGAAACTTCCATCCTACATCTGCTCCCTGATCTCACGGCGAATTGTAAGTGGCTACTACCTGAGATCGCATGCTGTGGTTTTATTAAATGTGCCAACTGCTACTGTTTTAGGGAAGATGGCATTTAGATGCGCAGCTCCACTGTCCTGGAATAGTCTGCAATTGAAATGGAAACTGAGCAATCTGGTGCCACTAAATGTTTTTAAAGCTCGGTTGGATGCTACTCAATCGGAAGCTGTTGGTACCTGTGCATGTGGATAGTATGTAAATTGTAATGCTAATGTATGATGTCCTTTTTGTTGTTCTGTTTATGTTTTTAATGTTTCATGTGGAACCTACTTGAGCAGGTCTCCCTTGAAAAAGAGATCAGTGATCTCAATGGGATACAACCTGGATAAATAAAGGTTTGAAATGAAATGGACGTTTTTGTTAACTTTATTTTATTATAGCTTTTATTATTACATCTAACGTCTGTTTTTGTGTTTAATCCATAGAGCTGACCGTTTCCCCTCCTGGATTTAGCCAGGAGGATATATTACTCTGTGAAAGTAAGCCTGGTTTTTAACCCTCTTTTAATGTTATATTGAATTGGTGTTTGAGCTGGCAACTATTATGTTGCGTTTGTTTTTTTAAAAGATAACTGTTCTCTAGTGCTTTTTTTGTTGAATTTTCTGTCAATTGTTTTCTTTTGTGCAGTTTGTGTAGGGACTGCACCGTGTGACACTTTAAAAGGGTGAGTAAACTAACTCTCACTATAATCATTTTGTAGAAGTTGTGCTTTGAGTAGTGCGTGCTTTTGTTCAATGTGTGTCCCTCACAGTTAGCAGGCATTGTGACCTAGTGGACCAGACCTGCCCATCTGAGGGGAAACCCACAATGTTATAATGTAAAGTATGTTCACCCTTTTACCCATTGACAGCTGCTGAACATTGACATGTTAACATGTATATTTCTGAAATAAAGCTGCATTCTATTTGGTCATGAATGCCTCTGTTATTGTCCTTGTGAAGGGAAGCCCCACAATCTGCAAAACAACTTTAGATTTAGATTGAGGGTCCACAGGTTCCTACATCCCCTCAACAGGAGTTGGTGTTGTCCGCTATTTAAAGGTGACCCCAGCCACAGTTACCACATATGCATCAGAGAGGGTGTTTTCACTGTTGGCCTAATATATGATTGGTCAACTGAACTTGGCAACACTAAACACAATCACACCTTAACATAAGCAAAAACAGACTACCTGCTCACCTGGAGATGTCACACTAAACCTTCTATACATTTTTGACAAGGAGTAAATTATATTAAATCAAATGTTGGCAGTGCTAAACATTGCCAGACCAAAACAAATGTTCTTTACAATCTCCAGAAGATGTTGGTCGGGAGGGATAATGGCCTGTTTTTAAAACGCTTTCTAGCAAGTGAAGACCAAGCTGCCCATCACACTAAAACTTTGTAAACATTTCATTGAGCCACCACATTACCACAAATAATTCCCAGCTTGTGCAAAATGAAGATGAACATTAGATAGAAAAAAACATAAGCTTGTGTGGATATATCGTATAAAACATCATGTATTCATTTCAGGCAGAGAGACTTATTGCTTTGTGTCTCATGTTTCTTTTCATTCACAACTGATCGTCGCACTGACTTGCTCCTCTGCTGCCCTCCAGTGGCCACAAGGCACAACAGGTACTTTTACATTACAGCATGAAGCTCCAAAGCACACAAGTGTTTCCTTCAGAAAACGCACTTGCACTTTACTAAACCTCTAAACATGGCACACGAACACAAATATAAAGTATA